GAAAGCCGAGGGTCAGCGATGCACAGCCGCTCCAGGCGTGTGTCAACTCTGCCTTGCGTGCCGGCACTCTGGGCGACGGCCACTTGTGCGCGCAATCTCGGTCCGGGATCTGAGAGCAGTCAGAACGCCGCTTCCAGGAGTCGCACTCGTCGGCAACCGAGTGACAAGTCGGCGGGCTTTCTTCGCTGCTCCAAAGCGTCGCCGCCGTGTTGACGAGCCTCTCCTTCCCGTCCGCCGTCGTTCGACCCGATGGGCTTTTAAGTTAACAAGGGCTGGCAGCTGCTGCCTCGCGACACCCGGTAGCCCCGAGGGGGCCACGGTCGCTGCACGAGTGACGGAGGTGAAGACCTCGAATTGGTGACAGCGCGTTAGCATGCACACTGTCGGCGAAGAAAGGTCGATGAAGTTGTGATCACTTTGGGGCTCAAAGTGCATAAAGCCTATGATGAAGCTATATATTGCACCGTCATAAACAGCGGGAGTGCATCGGAGAGAGTGATTAGCGCGTACCAGTGTGCCCTCACTGGCGGCAAACTGTTGTTTTCCGTGCGGCCGCAGTATCTCAACAACAGAACACCCTTCCATCACATTCTTCCTTTTCGCCGTCCTAACAACAACAAAAAAAGAACAGGTATCGCCGCGTGTGTGCAGTCGTTAGGTCCCCTATCTGGCTTTGGCATCCGACATAAAGAATTGATTTGATTGATCTGTGGGGTTTAACGTCCCTAAACCACCATATGTATATGAGAGACGCCGTAGTGGAGGGCTCCGGAAATTTCGACCACCGGGGGTTCTTTAACGTGCACCCAAATCTGAGCACACGGGCATACAACATTTCCGCCTTCGTCGGAAATGCAGCCGCTGCAGCTGGGATTCGATCCCACGACCTGCGGGTCAGCATGCGATCACCTAAGCCACTAACCACCGCGGCCGACATAAAGGATGATTCAATATGAACGCCGACAGTTAGAGAACAGGCGCGTAACCAATTTAGATGAAAAAAAAACTATATTTGAGACACTGTCGATTGCACGAGTGACTGCCAACATGATTTAAAAGTGAGGTTGGCCCTAAATTAGCCGCGAAATTTCTTGATAACCTAACGCCATGTGAGTGCTGAAGATAAAAGGAACTGCAGAGTGGAATGCAGAAATGCTCATCTGTACATGCCGTCTTGCGATTCATGCGCGAACATTTGCGACAACATGGTGTGTGTGTGTGTGTGTGTGTGTGTGTGTGTGTGTGTGTGTGTGTGTGTGTGTGTGTGTGTGTGTGTGTGTGTGTGTGTGTGTGTGTGTGTGTGTGTGTGTGTGTGTTTCAAAGACATCATTATTTTTGGCCTAACATTTGCCCAGTTTTACAAAACTACATTTAACCGCGTTTTAAATGTTTACGTTTACTTCAGTGCAAATTAGTTGCCAACTGTGTATGAAGAGTTTATCTCTATGGCGATACCTCTTCGATCGGCAGCACAGGAATGAAAATACCAGATTTTGAGGCTGCATGGCCGTTTGACGTACAGCTACTGGAGGGCGGGGTGTGGGCTGTTGTAATGCTATGCAAAACGTGCAAACGTGTGTTTTCACCGCCAGTTGTGATGTTTATAGAAGGCGAAACAAGGGGGGTGAAGGGACGTTGAAGTCCTGCCAAAAAGGCAACGCTCGCCTTGCTGTAGCTGTAGACAAATGTTGCAAAGTTGTGCGCAGCACTTCGTGACTTGTGCTCCGGTACTTGCATCATCGTTCTCGTCACATCCCAAGCCTAATATAGGGTGAGCAATAGACGCAAATGTAGTCAGTGCAAATACTAACTGCCTACACTGTGCGACGGTGACAAGGTAAAGCGAGATAGTTGAAGGTGAAACGTGGTAAGCGATAATTACGGCTTACTTGACATATCCTGAAGAAGCGAAGTGCATTCAAACTGGTGACCCTGACAGTATATATAGTGTAAAGCCACAGTATTGTTGAAATAACCACTTTTTACATTGTGCTTACAGCAAAATTGGTAACAAGATACCCACATAGAATCACCGCCGTCGTCATCATTATCATCACCAGGATCACCGGCATCTTTATTGTAAATATGTGCCCTCTTCATGGCCATTGTTGATTAAGTGAGAGTAACAACAACTTGCTCCTACTCACGCCCTGTGAATTCCATTATTTGACGGCCGAATTTACAAGAACTCAAGAAAAGATAGCGGCAGGAGGCACGTGGTTTAGTGAAATAGACAGAGAGAGTGATAAATAGAAGAGGAAGGCAGAGAGGTTAACCAGAAGGTAGTGTATTCTAACGTGCACCGGGGTTGGAGAATAGGGGGTTAGCGAAATAATTATTGCGTGCGTCAATGCACCCGCCAACACGCGTCTCTCTCTGCACGTGTTTGTGGGCGTGTGTGTGCCGGCATGTGAGTGAGGATAGCTTTGAGTGGGAATACACGATCTTTTGCGTTTAGGCTTTGGTTTAGTCGGCTGAATTGGTCATATTTCATCACTCGGGTTTAGTTTAATGGCGGTCGCTTTTTGAAAATTTGAAAGCGGCAATAGCTCCTTCGCAGGAAAGGTTACAATACTTCCACTTGCCCAGACCGCTCGTGTCTACTCACTAAAATATTGATTAATTTAAGCACTTTAGTTTCTGGCAAGTGATGTCTGCCGTAATTGATGTCGTAAGATATATTCCTAATGGTATATATCTAAGACACGGACCTGCAGCACTCAACTTGTAACGAAATGCGCGCCACAAGAGCCGTGCCCCGCGACCACGTCCTGATTGCCGTTACCTTCAGCATCATATATCCACTAAGGCAATGCAGTTGGTTCTGGTTATTTGCAGTCCCGCTATTTTAGTAACCCCATTAAAATGTTAATGTAGTGAAGAATACAGCCAGAAACGTTGACAAATAAATGCATGCGGTAGTCATTTTTATTCTCTGCACTTTACCTTTTTGCGTATAGATCCCCTCTATTTTTTTGTTGGTGCTGAGTGGCTCGGCGTTCACTTTGATGAAGACACCTAGAGGTGCGGCCGTGCGCGGCATTCGGTGACAGAGAAGAGAAGGAGGATACAAGGCAGCGCTGCCTGCGGCTCCCGACGTTTCACGTCCATTGCGTCGCGTGGGAGGATTTCCGAAGGCGTTCGCTACAAGCGCCGGAAACCGCGGCGGGAACGACACTCGCTTTGAGTTGTCCTTCCGTGATAGGTGGCAGTTGTGAAACTATCTATGAACGAGAAGCCGGCAAGGAAGCGACGAGGACGCTTTCATTGTCAATTTCCGGCTATGAGTACATTCAGAGTTTTCTTTTTTTTTTACTTGCTTGCTTGTACTTCGCTTCAACGACACGCTCTCACGGGAACATATATTGCGTCGGCGAATGCCTGCCATCGCAGCATCTTCTAATACAGAAGGAAAGAAGTTGAAACGGAAGGGCTCATTTTTTCGTTAGACACAATAGTAATGAAACCTAAGAGACAATTATGCCAAAGAAAGTATAGGGTCGTCGTCATTTTTTATTCACTTCATAGGCCCTTTGCAAAAATTTAGGGTCGTCAGCGATGACCCTACATTTTCCTTGGCATTATTGTTTGTTAGTTGACATCAATATTCTAAACCACAGGAAGTTTAAATGAATACATGTAGAATATTAGACGACCCATGCAGATCACGTGGTCAATAAAAAAAACACCTTTCTGTCCACCTTTCCTATTTCTCAATTCGACAGCCTCATACGGACGCACAACGAGTGCATGCGCTGTATTTGTTTGTCATAAGTTAGTATGGTCATTTCATTTTGGGGATTTTGGTTGTCAGTGCAAGTGATTTTGTTTCTTTAAAGGCTGGTGATTTAGCTAATACTTAAAAAATCTTAGTTTTTCACACACTCTGAGTTCGTAGCGATATTTATGCTATGATACAAATAAACAGATCAGACGCAGCCTTTTCTTGAAATACATGGCAAAGCCTTCGGCGAGCCGCTTGGCTCTTTTAGACATTCCAACACAGATTGATTGATTGATATGTGGGGTTTGACGTCCCAAAACCACAATATGATTATGAGAGACGCCGTAGTGGAGGGATCCGGAAATTTCGACCACCTGGGGTTCTTTAACGTGCACCCAAATCTGAGCACACGGGCCTACAACATTTCCGCCTCCATCGGAGATGCATCCGCCGCAGCCGGGATTCGAACCCGCGACCTGCGGGTCAGCAGCCTAGTACCTTAGCCACTAGACCACCGTGGCGGGGCAATTTCAACACAGAGTGGAAGTTTTTGTGTCCCTCGGCATCATAGTAACTGGCTTAAACAATCACATTGATACATTGCTTGCTTTCTTGAAGTTAACAGTTCCGAAGAAATGTTGCATTGAAATAAACATTAATGCGTGCGGTAGATTCACTTTTATTTGAGCTCTACCGAGTCCGGAGTTCACGGTCGAAGAAAGTTCATGAGGCCACCATCGCATATGATGCGAGCGCACACACGCACGCACGCGCAAGCACATTAGTTCTGTGAACGTTTCTTCACAATTACATTTTGGGCTTTACTGCCCAAAACCACGATGCAATTGTGAGGGGCGCCTTATAGTGGAGGGCTTTGAAAATTTTGCTCATCTTGCGTGTTTTATTGGGTACTGACATTGCACAGTACAAGGGCCTCCCCCATTTTGCCTGATTCAATATGCGACCGCTGCTGCCGAGATCGAATCCGCGCCCTTCGGTCCAGATGCCGAAGCCACTGATTCACAGTGGAAGACTGCGAACGTGTCTAAGTGAGATTGCGTCCCTTCCATGCACATGATTACGTATTGTGCATAGGGTCGTATAGTAATATTTATAAATAATGACCATATATATATATATATATATATATATATATATATATATATATATATATATATATATATATATATATATATATATATATATATATATATATATATATATATATATATATATATATATATATATATATATATTGAAGACAAGAGCAAAGCACTGTGGTGAGTTCATTGAGCCAGCCTGGCGTTTATTTTTCCGTCACTTCGACACTATCGGTGACAGGCGACGGTTGAATGATGACAATATGTACACTGACAATGGTAGCGAATGTGTCACTAGAAAGCAACCTTTGCAACAGTTTCAGTAAGAGATCGCGAACACACAACGATTTTCTTTCGGGAACGCGCACACTGTACAAGCGGAGCCGCTTCCTTGCTTTGACATGACTCCGCCGGGTTCCTTATCACGTATACTCACAAACAGGCACGCGAGCACGGTCACACCACATACGACGTCGGACAGTGATAGGAATAGAGAGCAAAGAAGATAGAAGGAAAGATAACATCTGACCAGTGAGGTATAATCCACGTGGACGCAATCCCTCGTCAGCAGGCTTGTTCACCGCACAAGACGACAATCAAGGTAACTTTGTTAACCCTCCCGGTTTATCGATTGACTCGCATATCAGCCATCAGAGGCCGTCCTGCATAATTTCATTTCCTTCGTCTGAGGTCACGCACTAGGTGAGTGTCACTGGTTCGGAGCTAATAGGCTAAATCTGTATTGAGCGTCTGTGAAACGTACCTTTAGGCGAGGTATAGAGCAGCAGCATGGGCGTAATTACTTGCATTAAACAATCCTGCTGGTGACCAGTAGTTAGCAACGACATACATACACGTCGATGAAGAGGGCATTCTACCAAATGGTCAATTTGGTTTGTAAAAATATCAATTCATCAACGAACGTACCAAACTTTTCCAATACTTTTGAGCGATGTCATAGGTCAGTATAGATGCACAACATGGTGAAATAGTCAATCTTTTTCATCGGGTGTAGTGGTGCCTATTTCTGGCCAGGGAGCTGTGAAAATAAAGCCTGAGCAATTTAATGTAATTTTGTTAGGCCCTACGACGCTTAAGTAAACAGAAAACTACGCCAGGCCAATTTTTCCTGTCAAGCATATGTTTACGTGGGCGACCCTGATCATCCCAATTGCGCACTGCCTGCGCCGGGCTAAATTAGAGCTAGACAACTGTTCTTGGGCTCACTCTGGTGCTCATGCATACACAAGACCATCTTATAGCTATTTTATTGTCTCACATCGACGCTCAGGAACAGTTTCATCCTGTAGATCGGTCGGAACAATTTGGGGTTGTTAAATTTTCGAAGAAAACGTTCCTTACGATCCCCAGTGATGAAAAAGTGAACGCTCACAACAGTGTTTTACCAATACTGTCTTTCATCTGAAAATCCATCTCACAGAATTCGTTGAGAAACGCTCGATACAAGGACGGTATATCCGAGACGAACGCTACACGTGTGTTTCACCAGATATACAAATTGACAAGGACAGTGGGATTATTTACAACAAAAAGAACAACAACCGAAAATGAAAAAAAGTAAGTACAGCCCACCTCTTTGGTCTAGGAGTGTGAATGTCGCACTGGCATTTAGGAAATATAAAATTCTCTGTTGAATTCACTAGATGAGTTGTAGATTGCCAATGATGATATTGAAAAAGTCAGTTTCAAGAACAAAAAAAATAAATAAAATATATATTAGCGTAGGCATCGGCAGGTCCTCGTACGTACGGTCAAAAAGCTGTTATAATTTTTTCTTGGGCTTCACTCTTCCTGAACCAAACAGTATAACATAACAAGTCAACATTTTTTGTTTGTTTCTACAATCGAGCCAGATACGCCAGAATAGGGGTGAAGAGAACAGCTCTAATTCCATTATATTGCTGTGAATTCTACAAACCCATGAAGTTATGGACATGTGATACTGGATATTGGCTGGTGCTGTCGGTATGGTGTTTTTTCGAGGGTATACTGCTTGCATTCTGCCCAGTAGCCTGCTGAGGCGTTAGTACGGCCGTAGTTCACTTGCATGCGGCTGGTTCAATGACTGTGTAATGCATTTAAGAGAATGACACGCACATTGTTTCAACCAAGGTATGCGAGCATAATCCTCACAAATTCCGGGAGCTCATTATCAGAAAATCAAAGTGTCCTTAGAAAACTTACTGACACATACCGTGGTTTCTAGGAGTTGGCATTCTTTCTGTTCCTTTATTTAGGAACGCGAAATTTTTGCTCCCTTTGACTGCGTTTGGCTCTAAAGTTCAATGTACAGTGCTTAGAAGCCAAGGTGCTGCACTGAGTAATGAAATATAGTTTTAAATTAAGTGCCGAAGTCCCTCATTGAGTTTACTACAATCCGTATTGCTGCGAAAATTACCTATCTAAGGACATTCAGTCGTTTAATGTGCCACCAAGTTACACTGGAGTGAATCAATTTAGAATGAAGGCTCACATTACGCAGCCCAAGAGAGCACATGCCAGAAGCGCATTTGTCTACTAGAGCCAACAAGGCACGATGCACGAGTCTTACAAGAGCTGTCATTACTGCATTATTTTACACAAACATTGTTTTCTGCCAAGTTTTTGAAACTTGCGTATAGGCTTACAGCCATTAGAGGTACTTCCGAGAGCGGACTATATATAAGAAATTTACTCGGGTTGTTGCGTCGCAAAAATAAGTTAACGTCACTGATCAGCGCTGGCCATCAGGGCAATGCCTCGCTATATCGCACTGCGTAGGACTCTTCTAACGATGCATACATAACACCGTACACTGAAACTGCTAGCAGGAGACCATGAAGAAAACGAGATAGGGGAGTTCATTTTAATAAATTGACCCTTTCAGATATATAAGTGGTGTATCAGAGCAATAAATATGTACAACTTTTTTCCAATGAAACAATAAAAACACGAAACCAGAGGAACACTTGTACAATGCACAGTGAAATCGCGGCAAAGGAAAGCCAGCTGACTTCCCGAAGCGCAGACACTACGTTTGATGGAACTTCTAAATATATATCTCTCATATTTTTTTTCTCCCATCCACTTGCAATGTTTCACTCACACAGTTTTCTGCGCATATACGCTTTGCTATCCTTTGAGAAGAACCGCCACAGTCCAAGGAATGAGTTCCCATGGCGCAGACTGCAGCAAATGCATTTGGCCAAGAGCACACACACACACGTAAAAGGGAGCGTCCCGCAGGAGGTTGCCAAGTGTGGCTTCGAACGCCGCAAGGTCCGTCGGTGTGACCTTTGGAACAGTACTTTGCAGAGGTGCTGAGAGAGGGGCGCATTTCTTCACTTCTGCTGGCACGTGGGTCGAGGTGATGATGTAGTGATGAGGGGAGGATGCAGTGAATAAATAGTTTAGCCCCGGTGCCATCAAAAGAGCTCCTGGAACGATCCGAGTGACTCCTGCGACGCTGTCACCACGAGGGTCGTTTGAGCGTTGCTGTAGTCCAGGGGTGCTCCGGGACTTGGTTCCGAAAATGAGCTCGTGCCTCCTGGACTGCTTGCCGGTAGGGAAGTTGTGGGCTGCTCCTGCTGACGTACATTGTTTCGCCGCCACTTTGCCCGGGCGTTCTGGAACCACACCTGCGGTGCACGATCAAACAAGACAAACCGCATTAATCGAAGATGGCAACATACGCGAATGCATAGATAGAGAGCTTGAGAGAAAGAGGGAGAGGTAGAGGAGAAGTGCGTGGAGGAGTAAATGACTGCAAGCAGTAGAATTTTTATCTTGGAAGGCCTACACTTATCCACGAACAGACAATACCTAATACTTGCACTGCACTAATGCCCCTCCTAACTAATGTGCGGATACTCACACATAAGCGCTCACATTATGGGATAGCTGAGCAGTGCGCCAATCGTTGCGCGTTCGTTCCGAAAGCGTACGCTAAAAATGCTACAACGTGCCTGGAGAACTCTCTTGGAGAGCCCCGTCTTCTGGGCAAGCTGCTTGAGGTCCTTGGCATCGGGATTCTGATTGATGGCGAAGTAAGACTTCATCGTCCTCAGCTGGTGATGCTTGAAGGAAGTGCGCATTCGCTTGGTACGTTGCTGCTGCTGCTGTTGCTGCTGCAGCATGGTTGAGCCATTGCTGTCCAGGCCGGCAAGGTCTTGGAGCCCTGCAGAGAGACACACGTAGGAAACTTCTTAAACCCTAATATTTGTCTATAAGACTCCTCTAGTTTTTGGTATCACATAGTTTCTTCTGCACTTAAGATTTTCCTTATTGTGATAGTTACCATTACGTCCGAAACATTTGCCATCACCGTTATGTGAGGAGTGAATTTCCGCCTTAGTTCAAATGTCATAAGTGCTTCAATGTTTCGAAGCGAAGCGAAAAAAAAGCAAAGCAAAGAATATCAGATAAGTTATTTGCAATACTACCGTACATGCCACCTGGAAGACAGAAAAAATACAAATGAAAGAAAAAGAGCCCATAAAAAAGTCCTTAGTTGATGCTGTGGTAAATACACCTGTACAATTGTACGCCTGTACGCCTGAAATGTACGCATGTACGTCAAATACACCTGTACGACGGCAACTTCGACCATGACCTAAGTGGACGGCATTTAGCGGTCTTGTAAAGCTACCCATGTGCGGCACTCACTTTCCCTGAGTAGCGTCTGCTGATTGGTAGGAACCTTCTTCCCTCGTATCCCGCACGAATCGGAACAGAGGATGCCACTCATCAAAGCATGCGCTACCGAACCATGTTTCTGAATATGGGAACGTAACGCGGGACATTATTTCTCAATGCGCAAACGTGTTCATAGAACCTTTCCACGCCTTCCCGTCAGTTTGTGCGAAAGCAAAAATGAGCAGCAACTACCATAATTGCTCGAGTTAATCCTTAATTTTTTTTCTGCAGTTTGCAATAAATTGATTCCAGTGATCCTCTTGGATGTCACTGCTGCAGCATAGAAAATTCAATACAATGGCAAGCTCCCCGCGACATTTAACGGTTCAAAAAAGAAAACCGTATTGTTATATGCAGTTGAATATGGTCACGTAATTCGGTATGTTCGCTAGTGGCGTGATAATCTGTCGTTAACCACGCCTTGTTAAGCTGCTTACCCTCTTGCACACAGTTGCTACAAAAATTAGTGTACCGGTGCATATATCATGAAACATTTCATGACTGCAGCAAGTACGTAAAAAAACGTGCATCTACAGTAGAACTCAGCAATGTTGTAGCATGGATTAAAAAAAAAAGCTCATGCACTTCCACTCAATTTAAGGTTACCACTATAGAAGAAACGCTCATGTCCTTGTCAAGCACTCAGCCTCACAAGGTATTGATCGTCAAGTTCGCGTTTTATTGGGTAATTAATTGAGAAGTGTGCAGTTAGCAACATTTGAAATGGCTTCCGTTCTTTACTGCTAGCTGGGTTTTCATTTGCTGAACCTTATAGCACTCAAGCGGGCTAAAACATAAAAATAAGAACCACTTTCAGAGTTCTCCGCTATCTGCTAAAACCGACTGCCAGGAAGTCTGCAAATATACATGTAAATGTCGCAGAGAAAATACGAAGGCAACTGACAGTGTGTGCATTGCGTGTGGGCCTGTGTCGTGCTGTGGTGCCCCCCCCCCCCCCCCGAAGCGGTTCCGAAATTTTCAAAATGCCGCGAGAGACGGCGTACCTAGGTGCGGTGGGCCCTCGGGCAGCTCTCCCGGCTTGCGCTTGCGCGGCCGGCCCTTGCGCACTCCGTACGGTCCCTGCGGAGGCGCGTACGCCGCGCCCGGCGCCAGCGGCGGGCTGCAGGCTGGGCCCCCGTTGCCGCCTCCGTCGTCGTCCGGCAGCAGCGGTGGGGGTGGAGGCGGCGGAAGCCCCGGCTGGCACCCTTCGGCCAGCAGCTCGAAGTGGGTGCGGCAGTAGACGAGGTTGTCGCGCAGCCCAAAGTGATCACCCTGGGCCAGCGCCGCGTTGCACCACGCACACGTGAAGCAGTGCAGGTGGTACACCAGGTCTCGGGCGCGCATGACCAGCTCCGAGGCGAAGATTCCTTGTTGGCAGCGCGCGCAGCGCTTCACGGCGAACAGCCTGCGTTGCGTGGAGCAGCCACGTAACGGGAAAATTTTACTGCGCCCTGTTAAGCCACGTTCGACGCTTGCGCAATGCATGTAACCGCAGATAAATTTGAAGGAAAGTAGTCTGCGTTGTCCTAGGTAGGTTCCACAGTTCCACGGTGCAGTAGAGGCTTATGTTTCCCTCTATTACAATACGATATCGATATGTGGGGTTTAACGCCCCAAAACCACCATATGATTATTAGAGACGCCGTACTAGAGGGCTCCGAAATTTCGACCGCCCGGGGTTCTTTAACATGCACTCAAATCTGAGCACATGGGCCTACAGCATTTTCACCTCCATCGAAAATGCAGCCGCCGCCGCCGGCATTCAACCCCGCGACTTGCGGATCAGCAGCCGAGTATCTTATTCACTAGATCACCACGGCGGGGCTCCCTCTATTACTATAACTACATGAATATTTACAATAAATATTTTTCCTTAACCGTTTGTTTGTCAAAGACTAGATTCCGTACGCACCACTCAGAAGCACAAATATTTAATGTTGCGTTTTTTTTTCTCTCTCTTGAACTAACTGCAGCACTACAAGAGGGTATTTGGTGCGCATTGTATCCTGTTCAGTTGCTCTCTTTTCCTCTTCTTCCAAGCAGCTCTAATACGTGACAAAGGGCTCACTAAAACCACTATGTTTAACAGTCGCTCTTTATTATTGCGCAATAGCAAGCATACCCTGTAAACTAAAATTCACTAAACTCCATACCAACAGGCCTTCCCACAACCTCAGTAGAGCGTTTAACGGCGTATATACTTTGTCCTGAAAGGCACGGAAATAGAGGATCCAGGTGAAGCAGTGTTTTTAATCAGCTAAATATTCTATTTCGCTTCTTTTTACGTAGTAGCATAAGGATGTTCCCTAGAGACGAGTTTAAATTAAGCTTAATTTAGTGATGCACTCGTCTGCACAATATCCAACTCACATGCTCATATGCTCACTCACGCGTACTGGTTTATGTTTCTGGGTCGAACACTCCAAGTCTGCTCAGGAAACTCAACTGTAACGAGTTAAAAGGGCACACGTGGGGGAGCAACACACAAACACAGAGTGCCAGCTACCAACTGGTTTATTGTGATGCAAGATGGAGTGTGTTGCAATTTTAGCGCATGCGCAATGACGGAGAAATTATTTAACATTGAGTGATAATCTCCGCCGCAACATCTGTGCTTGAAACAAGTGAATCCTCAGTACCGTACAAATTGGCTTGAATACTGAAGAATAGATATAATGGCAGAGATAATCCTTCCGAGTCCCGTCACATGTATCAATTTGTGCGCGCACTAAAATTATAAGATGCTACATCTTCCATTTCAACAAATCAATTTGCAGTCGTTGATATGTGTGTGCGTGTGTGTCTCCTTGACGTGTGTGTCTCTATAACGTGCAGAAATCAAGTTTTCTGCATCGCACCAACTTGCCTAAGTACATTTATTAGGATACAGTAAGCCAGCGTTCAGTGCACACAAATAACAAGCGAAGTCAAAACAAGAAAACGTTGTACAGAACTGATGCCAAAGGCTTAGCAGAACAGTATCAAGCATATTTTCACTCCCAAGAAGTATTGATCAGAGACAGAGCCACAGGGAGAGAGTGAGAGAGAGAGCAGAAAGCACGACACAGAGAGTTTGCGTGGCGCCTGATCCGCCGGCTTGTGATAAGGAACCGAAAGGAAGGTGGTCGAACTTGATTCCGGTGTCCTGAGACTTTGCTCATGCGGCGTGCCTAATAACCCCGGCGTCGTCCGGTGGACCACACGCCTGCCAAGTGCGGCGAGACCCACAGGCGTGCGCGAGATGAACGCGTACCCCGCACCATTCCAGCAGCACGCGTGGTAGACACAGCCGCTTCTTAAAGCGGAAGCCGCTATCTCAGTGGTGTAGGAACTCGCCTCCGGCTCAATTTCGAACAGCGGAGACGGAAGTCCGGGAGCTCGGCTTTCGCACTATTTCGCCGCTCGTATCCTGTCTGTCGTGGTTTATCCGATGCCAATTAAGCTGCCCGCCTGCCTTTTATATCGCTTTCTTGTTTTCCTTTTTGTGTCGTTCTTGTCTCATTCAGCTGTTGTTAGTCAGATAGCGCGTTCGACGACAAGGGGGCACTATACCTGCTGGCCGATGTTGGATACATGCATGACATCTCTTTAGGAATATAGCCACAGAAATATTGATGCATGGACATGAACAATAAACCGTCTACTCGGTCATGTCTTCATTTATTGCACGCGTGAGGCCCGCGACCTTCAGCTAATACGCGCGATAGTTGCACAAATTTAAGCTCGGCGTTGTAAGCAACGTACTGATTCTCAAAAACGCATAAAAGCGTCCTACTGCATACGTAGAAACCACTGGCAGTTGACACACACACACACACACACACACACACACATCATATATATATATATATATATATATATATATATATATATATATATATATATATATATATATATATATATTGTAACACGGTTACATGTACACTGCCAATGTTCTTGTTTTAGACGCATATAAATAGGGACGCAATTCCCTTCTCTGTTCCCTCTTCGCCTTCCGTGATAAGAAAAGTCTGGCATCATCACCATCTTCCTTAATCACTCCAAAAGTGCTAAAGGAACAGGCGTAGCAGGCGCGTTAACCTACACGCAGTTTTTATGATCTTCCACGCACCACTCATTCAACGCCCGTACGCGCGACGACAAGGCAAGAAAAGCAAGACCTCTTCGTTCACCTGACTAACACGCTCAACGGGGGTTCATAAAGTGAACCGAAGACCAGTTGTTCCTTTTCTCATTATTTTTACAGGTCAAATACTGACACAACACTATCTCCATTTGTAGCGCACAGATTTCTCCACATATGGACAACATGGATTTCTCCATATTGTCCCCAAGTCGCAGAAGGGAAAAAAGAGAGAGCACGCGTACGACAAAGGAAAGTGAGCACTTTCGTCAAGCTTTACCTCTGCACCCAGCACAGAATAGCTGCGTTCGTAGGGCAAGACAAGAGAGTGGCTACCACTTGAAAGGCTGGCGCTGCTCAAAGGCGCGCATCCCGAGTGCACAAGATAAGGGAAGAGCAGTCGCCCGGGCCCTCAACGAGCCTCTTCTGAGCCATTGTCTCCGGTCGCACCGAAACGGGAGGACCATCGTTCGCGAAGGCCGCACTGCTAGCACAGCACCCTAGTGAAAAACAGGAGAAGCACCCGCGAGAGGGCTCCCGCAGCGCGAAAAGCTCTCCATGTATGCTAGGAAGAAAGAGAAGACGACGACACCCTCGGGGTTTTTTTTACATCTCCTTTCTTTTGCTTCTTCTTCTTCTTCTTCTTCTTCTTCTTTCTAAACCGACGCTTCATCGAGACAACACAGGTGACCGAGAAGTGAGGAAGCACGTCTCCCCAAAGAATGGTCTCCGCAGAGACGGCGTCACTTGCTGCCAGGAGGAGACGACCCAGAAGCGCACTCGGAAGCAAGAGGGCGCCAAGACGAGCTGCCGCTCAGCGCGTCGTCATTAGGAAGCTAGAAAGAACGGCAGCATCAGGGCGACATGGAAAGAGGGGGGAACCCCATGCCTCAAATGGATGGCAGATTTGGAGACACAAAAGCTTGGCAGCCGCGCCGCAGCGCACCTTTCGCGCAGCGGGGGCGCCCGAGCTCGGCCCCGAAGACACTGTCCCCAAACTGTCTTCTCGCTGCTACCAAGTTGATGCGGGCAAGCGAGCCACGCACGTGCAGCAATGATCCGTTACCGAAGGGAGGCGGGTGCCTAACCCGCTTACAATAGGCGGCGTCGCGCACTACGTCCCCCTGAGCTCTCTCTCTGGGCCAAGGTGACGGAATCCCTTGCTTCGGTGGCGTCTGCGCTGCTTGCGCTCGCTATAGTGTTGCCACAGACGTCAGCGCAAAACCCGCTTGCGTAACTCGTGTTACGCCAGCTTCTGTACGAGCACGACTACGACGCTTCACTGGCTGGTTATGCCTGCGACCGGCTCGGCGGTGCTTTGATTTGCACACTGCTCATACGACCGCATGTTTATATAGGTTTTCATGAGCTCGTTTAGACTGCGATCGAAAACTATAAATCTGCAAAATAACTGCAAAAGCCGAGAAACTGTTAATGCAAAAGCCGAGAAACGTTTTCTCATTTTCTCATAGTAATAGATGCCCTTATCTAAGCTCCTTGTGCGGAGCTCCTCGTAAACACCTGAAAATAAAAAGAAAGCTTACATCTAGCTTAGAATGTCATCCTCGCAACGGTGCGCAGGCGGCCGGTCGAGCAACTGCTTTGCAGTTTCCTCTGTGTGGCTGCACTTGAACTTAGGCAATTTTCTATCAAAAGGCACAAAAACAGCTCACGAGAAATGACTCCAAAGAGTGACTGTCGACTCATCTCTGTGTGCTCTTCAGAGAAGCAAAACCAGGGCCAAGAATCGTGCGCCTCACAGAACGACACAATGCAAATTCTACCCGAGTTCTGCACCACACCAGGGAAGAATACGAACATCCTCGAGGCCTGATAACTATCGGAGACAGCAAGATGGCGTCTTGGTTGTGTTAATAAGCGAGCGAATGAGGCTGCTTTCCAGTGCGAGGATACCATGAAAAAGAGTATGAAAAGTCATTTAAAACGTATTCAGTGCGCCAGCGGTTGTCTATCACAGTAGCAGGCTCAAATTCTAGGGGAGCGAATTATAATCAAGGCCAGTAGAGAGCTGTTTGAAGCGGTGATACTGGCAGCCTCAAATCTAACAACTGGCCCTGAGTTAGCTTACCTAACTAATATACCTGAGTTAGCTTCATGGTCTTGTAGTGATGATTACTGTAACAGCAATTTGGAATTGAGATTAAGTCGAAGAATAGCCATAGACAATGCGATGCGGATAAGTATTTTTACAAACTCTTGCGCACAGATAAGTTTTTATGTACTGATTAAAATACAGCTACATGGCGAATGCGCTTGCTAAA